GCTCTCTGAGGTTGGATTCCCTCCCAGCGCACGCCATGCTCTCGTTTCCCAGCCAGGCGGCTACCCCCTGCAGGAGGGCACCAGGATTGCCAGACCTTACTGGTACCGCCTGTCTGGGTGCTACCATGGTAGGCAGGGCTCTGCTGAAAGGGGTGAAGGCAGCCTCTCTTCCCGATTTGCAAGGTTCTGCATGGTGAAGCTCCCTGGGGATGGGCCAGCCCTGGAAGAGCTGCTCTTCTGTGTCATGTGGAAGAGCGATAGTTTACAAGGCAGGGGGTGTGCTTGGTGGTTTTGCTCTGGGGAGGCAGGGTGACCCAGGGGATGGGCCGATCGACTGGGGGCCAGGACTCTTGGGTTCAGTTGCCAGCTCTGGCACTGACTTGCTGGGTGAGCTTGGGCGAGTCACTTCTCCGCCCCACTTCCTCCCTCGGCGAGGGATATTGACCCTCCCTAATAGCACAGCTGGAAAGTGTGGAGCTCGCTGTGTTGTCAGGCCCAGCAGACAGGGCTGGCTTGCAGCAGAACCGACCGTTTCACCCTCCAGATGCGAGGAACGCTTTGCCCAAGCCAGAGCTGGGACCTGTGCCCCCCACATGCAATGCACAGATGTCCCAAGATCACGAGACACTTTCTAATAATGGAGTAACTCGTCGTCCGATCTTGGGGCTACTCCAGATAGACCATTGCATAGAGCGTGACTGTCACGGCGTCCCCGGGCAGTGCTCTGGAACTGCTCCCCATGAAGCCAGGCAGGACTCTGGGGAAGTCTCCTCTCTGGGAGCAGCCTGTCTGCAGGACACACAGCTCCCCCGGCTTCCACCTTCCTGGGTCTGACCCCGGAGCATTCAGCAGCCTCTGCCCCTCCGTGCGCTTCCCAAAGCCAGTCCGCCCAGACTGAGTCCTGGGGAAGCCAGAGGGCCCCGCACCCCAACTCTGCAGTCAGAGGGGACTCTCAGCCAGCCAGTAAAACAGAAGGTTTATTAGATGACAGGAACATGGTCTAACACAGAGCTTGTAGGTGCAGAGAACAGGACCCCTCAGCCGGGTCCATTTTGGGGGGCAGTGAGCCAGACAACCATGTCTGCACTTCACTCCATGTCCCCAGCCATCCCTAAACTGAAACTGTCTCCAGCCCCTCCTCCTCTGGGCTTTGTCCCTTTCCCGGGCCAGGAGGTCACCTGATTCCTTTGTTCTCCAACCCCTTCAGCTCTCACCTTGCAGGGGGGAAGGGCCCAGGCCATCAGTTGCCAGGAAACAGGGTGTCGGCCATCCTCTGTGTCCAGACCCCTGCACACACCTGCCCTCTAGGGCTCTGCAACGATCATACACCCTTATCCCACCACCTAGATACTTAAGAACTGCCTAGGGGAAACTGAGGCACCCCCACACTATTCAGAGGAAACATTAAGAACAGTCTCGCTTCATCACAGTGACTACAGGCCAAGCTTGTAGCCTTTTCAGCATTGTGTAGGTATTTGCACAGGGCATTTTATCAAAGACACCAAAACAGCTCCCTTCTGAGTCACAGCCGGTCAGATTTGCTGGCTGGGTGCCCTCCGTGGCTGGGTGCAGCCCGGTGACATGCTGTCGCCCGCAGGATCCGTGCTGCAGAACCAAGGAAGCCATGGAAACGCAAGCTGGGTTCTGCCCTGCTTCCCCGTTACCGGTAAAGCTACCCGCTACCTTTGGATCTCAGCCTCTGTTGCCAGGGCCGAAGGAGCTCAGCTTGGTTAAGGCCAGAAAGGACTGTGACGATCATCCAGGCTCATCTGCACGGCACAGGCCAGCGAATGTCACCCCGTGTTTATCCCAGTACCTCCTGGCTGCACCACAGCGAACCTTTCACAGGGGGCTGTCCTGTCCCTAACAACTCTAAGCGCTGGAGCGTCGACCTCATCCCTTGGAAAGCCGCCCAGGAACCCGCATTGTTACAGATGCGCCAGCGGAGTGAAGGGCTATAGTAGTTACGGCCGCCCTTCCCGTAAATGCTTCCCCGCGGACCTCCCCTTGCACCCTGGGCTCAGCAGAGTGACAGGAAGCCAACCCAGGCTAGATCTGTCGGGGGGCCCTTCCAGCTGTTTGGAAATTGGCTACGTGGGGCAAAGCCAAAGTGAACCCCAGACGCTAGCAAGGGTCACTTCAAACCCCAGATCGGGGGCGGGGGCGGGGGAGGCGGCAACATTAGGGGGCATTGGGGGGGAATATGGCCAATGTGCTTGAATGACAAAGAATTTGGCTTCGGTGACACCGAGAGACACGATCCGGGGAGCGGAGAGCTGTCTCGTTCTGCCTTGTCGCTTTTCTGACTGCTATGGCATTTTAAAAGGCTACTGTCCTCGCCCCCCCCCCCCGCCCCCCCATCAGTGTGACTGTGCTCAGGCCAGGTGTGAGTGGTAACTTCCCTCTTGGAGTCCCCGGAAACTTTGCTCTCTGCCTAAATCAACAGCTCTTTTTGTTCTCTTCTCTCCTCTGCCCCCCACTGCCCCCCTCTCCTCTCACCTGCCTGTCTCTCTCGCTTTCCTCTTCTGTACATTTCTGTCAGGTAAGCAAACTTTTCCCCGGGTTCTCCCCTCAGAGCTGGCCAGGGGACGGGAGGCAGACGTGGCCGTGGGGCAGGGGGCCGGGTGGCGGAGGAGCCCTCTGGGACCGCCCGTGGGGCGCTCCTTGCGTTCCACCTCGTCCCCGGGCCGTCGGGCGAGCGCCGTTAGTCGGGTAGCGTTCAGAGAGGGCTTCTGTCTGCGAATGAGCGACAGGCGGCCCCGGGTAAAAGCCGGCAGATAGAGGCAGGCGGTGTGCCCGCCGTCCCCACACGTAGCTCTGCTAATGCACCTCAGTCTTCACCGGCAGCCCCCCCGTTTCAGTCCTCGGTTCACCACACGCAGCTCACTCCCGACCCACAGCCCCCTTTTATCCCAGTCCTGCCCCCCGCCCCTGGCTATGCCGGTGCCCCTCAATCCCAGCCCACAGCCCCCTGCCAGCCCAGCCCTGGGCTCCCCTCAGGTCTGTCAGTGCCCCTCACTCCCGACCCACAGCCCCCTTTTATCCCAGTCCTGCCCCCCGCCCCTGGCTATGCCGGTGCCCCTCAATCCCAGCCCACAGCCCCCTGCCAGCCCAGCCCTGGGCTCCCCCCAGCTCTGCCAGGGCCCCTCTCTCCCGACCCCCAGCCCCTGCCATCCCAGCCCTGGACTCCCCCCCGGTCTGTCAGTGCCTCTCACTCCTGACCCACAGCCCCTGCCATCCCAGCCCTGGACTCCCCCCCGGTCTGTCAGTGCCTCTCACTCCTGACCCACAGCCCCTGCTACCCCAGCCCTGGGCTCCCCCCAGCTCTGCCAGGGCCCCTAAATCCCAACTCACAGTCCCCTTTTATCCCCCATCCCTGGCTCTGCCGGTGCCTTCAATCCTGATGGCATCCCCCTGCTATCCCAGCCCTGGGCTCCCCGCACAGCCCTGCTGGTGCCCCTCACTCCTGACTCACAACCCCCGGCATATCCAGCCCTGGGTTCCCACGTCTCTGCCAACGCCTGGTGTCTCAGCCAGGGCTGCAACGTTGCTGACACGGGACAGGTGTTGGCTGTTCTGAATGCAGATTCGGACCCAAGGAGTAAGGAAAACACGGAAAGCAAAGGGGGGGCGAGTGCTTGAGAACAGGTGGTCCGGCCCAGAGGAAACCGCGGGGAAGCAGGACGCCGAGCCTAGCATGCCGGAGACCCCAGGGCAGGAGGGCTGGGCAGGGCAGTGAAGACGGGACCCAGAGCAGAGCGGGGACCAGGGGTTGCTCCCTGGAGAGCGAGCTTCTGCAGTTTGGGCCCCAGCTGGGGAGGGCCATGGACGCCAAGGCTGTGAGACTCAGGGGATTGGGAGCCCAGGCAGTGCGGGGTAGCGGTTAGAGCAGGGGCTGGGCGTCATCCCTGAGTTCTAGTCCCAGTGCAGGTTTGGCGAAGTACCTTAACCCCTGTGTCTCCACGTGCCCCTCTAGGAGCGCAGGCTGACCCGCCCCCGCCCCCCGGCCTGCCTGGAGGGGGCATGGTGAGACCAGTGGGGGGGCGGGGGCGGGTCAGCCTGCTCTCAAGGGGCGAAACGGGATTGTGCCAAGTTCTGAGCGTGCCTCGGTGCCGCGCTGCCCCGTGGCGTGTGGCTGGGCAGCTCCCAGCCGGAGGGGCAGTCGGTGGCGGGGGGCTGGCTCTCGGAGAGCGTGATCCTGCATGGGAAGGGTCGGGGCAGAGGAAGGACAGCGCGGCTATCAGCTCACTGGCGGTGAGGCGGAGAAGCGCGGAGCCTGGCTGGTGTTAGAGCAGGGGAGAAGGGCCCTGGGGGTGAGGGTAGCTCAGACTGGGGCAGAGGGCGAACAGCAGGAGACCACGCGGCGGGGCCGCTGGTGCCCTCTGCCCAGTGCCTGCCTTTAGGAACCGGGGAAGGGGCTAGTGAAAGGTCCAGCTGGGTGGAGACGTTCTGAGTCAGTGGGTTTCTAGCGGAGCCAGCTGGCCGGCGGTGAGGACAGGGTCCCTGGGGAAGAGAACAGAGACCCCAGGGCTGCCCTACGGCAACTCCACTCAGGAAAGTTTGGAGGGTTTCTCTGGGGCGACCAGGGTGGGGCCTCATTGACAGAGCTGAGCACTGTCCCTGGAAAGCCTGCCCCCAGCTCTGCCGGTGTGGGCTCTGGCCGCGCCCGGGGCAGCTCCGCGGAGCTGGGAAACCGAGGGCACGCTGCCCTCGCACAAAACGGAACAGCCGCCAACTGGGCCGGCTGCCACGGCCGCCGCGACCTTTGCTGGGTCTCCATCTCGTGTTCCACCCGAGCCAGGCGGCGAAGGTGGGGGCTCCCCGGGTGCAGGAGGCTGCAAGTCTGGGGGAAGGGGTCGCGCTCCCCTTCTGTGTTCGGGCGTAACCCATCAGGGTTCGGGTTTGAAGGGGCCTCTCTCCGCCCCTCAAGGGCAGGCAGCACTGCGGGTGCTGGCGAGGGGGGAACCGCCACTAACCCTGTCCTTTCCCTCCCCATGCAGCAGCTAAGAGCTTACTGAACAAGAAGGTCGATGTTGGCAAGGTGAGCTGCACGCCGGGGCTGCGGGGAGATCGGTTTTAGATCCCGGGGCCGGTGGGAAATGATTCCGTCGGTGCAGGCTCCTGTCAGACCAGTGCCGTGGCGAGCTGGGGCCCGCCGCTCACAGCTGGGCCCCGCCGCGCACTGGCCCGGAGCCACGACTCGAACCTCTGGGGTCTTTCCCAGGCCAGGAGGGCTTTCCTGTAGACCGTTCCCCAGTTCCCTGTGTCCCACCCACATCTGGGCCTTCTCTGGAGCCCTGGATCCACGCTAGACCCTTGGCTTTCCTGTTCATGTCCGCCTCGGGCTGGCCACAAAATGCAGGGGATCCCTGCTTGCCCCATAGGGTTGGGAAGGTCTGGGGGACCGTGGGCCACCTGAATGGAGCGCGGGCTTTGGAAGCTCAGACCTGTCTTTCAGGGTGTGTTTCTCCTTCGCAGCCACAGACAAACAGCAGCAAAGGCAGTGCTGGGGTCACCAGCCCGAAAGGAACCCTCCCACCAGCTGCACTGGTATGGCTCTCCATCGGTCCTGCTCCCCCTCCGCTTTCCCAGCCGCCGGCTCGGGGGGATTGAGCGGCGCTCCCTGCTCGCGTGCCCCCCAAAGCCTCCTGCGCTGGGCGTGGGCTCTGCATGGCCGGGAGCGGGTGCTGCTGCGCATGGCTCCGGGCCAGGTCCGCCGGCTACTGTCTCTGTGCGGAACCAGCTGCCCGCATGCGCTCAGAGGGTGCTGAGCACACAGTCCGGATGGGGCAGGGTCAGTGTGCAGGCAAGTGGGGCTGAATTGGCTGGCTCCGAGACCAGCCCTGCTCCGAGCACCTCCCTGGGCACAGACCCCTTCTTTCCACGCTGCCCTGCCCGAGCTGGGGACCTGCCACGTGACTGCGGCAATCCGGCCGGATGGGGAGGGCTGCGTGTTCCTGCTCACAAACAACAGAGGGGTCTTCCTGCCCCTCTGCATCACAAGCCCAGCCACTGGCAGGTGCCAGGGCCTACCCCACCTGGATGGGCACCTGATGTGCGCCCTGCCTTCCGCCCCCATCCCTGGCCCGACTGTGCCATGAGTGCCAGTCCCAGAGCAGACCCCGTGGGGGACCAGAGTCACAGTCGAGAACAGTCCACGGGCAGCTGGCCCAGAGGGCCACAGGCAGACAGCAGCCTGGCCTTGGTAAATGTGTGGAGCCCAGTACCGTGCCCAGCCCCAGGGATGGTGGGACGGGCCTGGGGAGAAGGGTGCCAGGCCTTGCCAGGGGAGCAAGCTATTCCTGACCCAGGCCTCGGCCCGGGGCAGCGAGCGTCCCAGGAGCTGCTCTAGGCCTACCGGAGCTTCCCGTGGCCCAGGTGAGGAGCGGCAGGGTGAGCTGTGTTCACTTCTACCCACGTCCACACACTTCCCCGCTCAGCGCAGGGCCCAGCTGCCACCCCGGGGCTAGTGCCAAGGAGACTGAATGGGGGCGGGGGGGAGATGCCACCGCTGGCAATCGCTTGAGACGAGACCGAGCCGGGAAGGCAAGGCTGACGCAGTGCCCAGCAGCCTGCGCGCTGTCCTGGCTCCGTAGGGCTACCCAGAGCCCTGATCTGCTGCCAGCTGCTCCCTCCGGGGCTGGGAGTCACGGACAGGCCAGAGCAGGACGTCCCTCTGGGCTCCACGAAGCTGTAAATGAAGCAGGGAGAGGCCGTAGCGAGCTGTACAGTACAACGCCCCGGGCCCGGATCCCGGGGACAGGCCTCAGAGACTGAACAGGGCTGCAGTGAGGGGAGGCTGCCAGGGCAGCCACCCAGTCCGAGGGCCTGGCTTTCCCTCGTGCGGTCGTTTAGACCAGCGCCAAGTGGGTATAAAGACGCCCAGTTTGCTTTGGTAGCACCTTACACCTAGCTTGGCATCTGCCCAAGGAGCAAAGCGCTGGAGGCTCGGCCTCCTAGATTTTGTATTCTTGGCAGAAACCTTTAGGGAGCAAAGTCTCTTATAAGTGAGTGCAATGTGCAGGCCTTTGTGTTTAGGCCTTCCCATGGAGTGGCCTGTTTCTCCAGGACACCCTGTTGCTGGAGGATCGTCCGTGCCCCTGCTCTGTCCAGCCCTGGAATCGTTTTCATTGGTACCCCTAGCACAGATCACGTTCTAACACATGTCCACTAACATGCCTTGAAATTCTAATGTGGACAGGACACACCCATGTGTTCCCAGTCATGTTTAAGGGCTAACCCTTCATGGCACGTCTACACCTGAGTTTACAGTCACGCTAGTGTAAAGCTCCCAGCAGTGATGCAAGAGCGTGATACCAAACGCAGGGCAGACTGTTAAACACCAGGGCACAAACCCCGGCTGGGCGATGAGTTCTACCCTTAGATCTACCCGACCAACCAACCAGGCCCAGTGCAAACGTCTCCAGTGCTGTAACAGCCAGTCCCCTGGGGTACGCCGCTCTGTCTCGCCACCCGGGTGAGTGTATCTCTGTGATAGACGGACCCTTCCTTCCGCCGAGACTCACAGCAATATTCAGGTTACCCCCAGCTCCAGTCACTTGCCCCAGGTCAGTTGCACCTTGGATCTCCCACCGCAGACGCCTGTAGCCAATCCTGAAGACGGATTAGCTAGGAAAAGGAAATGAGAGAGTTATATACAAGGGCAGAGCAAGCGAATGTAGACACACACACGAGTCACAGTCGTCGGGTTCAGAAGGTGATATAGGCTTGTGACAGGGTTTAGTCGCCGCTGGGCGCCTCCTGGTGGCCGTGTCTGGGGATTAGTACTTTTCAGGTCATGACCGCTTTCCGACCGCACCCTCCCTCGCTCTCCTGGACTTGCGGTGCTCTCTTTTTGTGACTCAGCCCTCCCGCCAGGTCAGTAACAGTCCTACCCTTGAAGGTATCAAAGTCACGCTGGGTCAGCTGCCTGCATGCCTGCTCCAGGGCCAGGTCCACTGCCACTTCCCCAGCAGCTGGTAGGGGACCCCGGGACCCCCACTACTCCAGTTTCCAGCCCAGAGACTCTGCAGTGTCTAGCAACTACCATCTACTTGATCCCAGATCCTGTTGCTATTTCCTTGGACCCTTTTCTACTCCCCTTCTCCATCTTCCAGCCCCCTCCTCTGGGCTTGCCTGCCCAAACTCCAGATTACGTTCCCTGCAGCCCTCTTCACAGAATCATAGAAGATCAGGGTTGGAAGGAACCTCAGGAGGTCACCTAGTCCAACTGCCTCTTCTGATCTTTCTTTTTCTTCTCCTCTCGTTGTATGCTGCAGCAGCCGTTCTCACACCAGCAAAGTCCTATATCCTCGCCCCTAGCCCAGTATCCTTCGGAAAGCGAAGTGATTCTCTTTTAAGGCTGCCCCACTTTCCTGGTGCTGTCACCAGTCCCTTTCCGACGATCGTCTTTCACCTCGCGGCCTCTTGGTTCTCAAGAAAGAATCTTTCTGTCTGCGTAATCCCCCCTGCATTAGCAGCTGCTCAGCTTAAACTTTTGTGCGTGTCACACAGCACATCTTTGTGCTGGTTTCGTAAATATAAATGACCATTCGAGTCACAGCGAGCTCTTTGAAAAACGGAAGTAACTACAGCCATAAAGTGCTATCACAGCTATTAATAGACCATTATCCTCGAGCTGAGGACATAGTTCATGGAACCGTTGTCCGTTTTTTCTCTTGCGACCCTAGCTCTTCCCGTTCCTTTGCAAGTTCTCTCTTAACCAAACTTTTGAAGTCCCTGTTTACTCAACCTCCCAACTTTGTAAGGCAGTTTTTGCAGCTTTATCTCCATTTCATTGCCATTTCATTGCCCAGTGTCCTGACACACCCCAGAATCCACACTGTTACTATATAGATACACCCAATCGTGTTATCTCCGTAGTTAAGAACAATATTTCATTGAATAGGTCATTCCTACTTTCCAAAGCTTCCTTTCTAATCGTCGTTACACCCAGTAAAGAGTCAGGTAGGACAACGGCCATAGCCAACAGTACACCCATCAATTTGGCCATCAAACGGCCACAAAATTGGCTAGGCTCCTAGATCTCTTAATTCCAAATTCAGGGGTACAAAGGCCATTCGCACTCTGCCTGTGCTATCATCTCTAGAACGACAGTATAGATTTAGCAAAGCTGACCCCATTTGCTGTGCGTAAACTCATAAATCGTAGTCGGCATATTTGATAGCCCTGCTCCTTCTTATGTTCTTATAATTCCAGCTCCACAAATGGAGAGCCATCTGTCCAGCTGTAAGTGGATTTCCCAGGACTAAAGATTTTAATTTCTTCCAGACCTTCCTTTTCACCCAAGTCTTTTACCCACCTTTTGACCCTGGGAGTTTGTGACTGAATTCCCAGCAGTCCTTGTCTAGTCGTTTAGTACTTTGATCTTCTCTGTTTCGTTAACCTTTGCCCAAAAGGTGAAATCTAACGATTTCATCCTTCCATTTATCGGCATTTCTCCGGTTGCGACCTGCAGCACGCACAACGGAATTGTGATACTCGCCCCACACGCGATTCGCAGAGCTTGGGCTCGGCTCGGCTCGGCTCTGATTGTACGGGTGTTGAGCTAGAAGTGGAATTAAAGGCTTGTCATCCCCCAGGCATTCCCCTGTCATACCCCAGCGATTTTTTTAAGCAGATTTCATCCTAGCTTTACATTTAATCTCGATATCACCTAGATGACCCTTCCACATGAGTTTGCTGTTGAACATAACTCCGAAGAATGTCAAATGTTGAGCTACTTATATTTTGTCTATACAGATAAGCCCCTTTGTTTTCAGTTTAAACCGATTTTTACCGGAAAAATCCTGTGGTTTACAGAAAGTATTATTCCATTTTTTCTGATGTTCACCCTACTTTTGTATCACTCAAATATATAAAAAAAAACCTGGGTTTTATTGGGAAACTGCTACCCAGTTCACGAGATCTATGGTTTTCTGAACCTCGGAGGTGGCACTGTGTTCTGAGTTCTGTTTTAATTCTGCAGCAAACCACGTTGATGAATGGAGTTCAGAGCATTAACCTATGAATATTCCCCACCACCACCACCCCGTCCTTCCATCCACCAAAATAAACCCCAATATTTACCCGGAAAAAATACCCATAGTTGGGGGGTTTTTTTGCACAGATTTTTGCCTGTTTTTGTTGTTGTAATAAACCCTGTCAATTCCAGGGGGAAATTAAATAAAATAAAAACTGAAAACGAAGGGCACTGTCTAGAGAGAGAGAGAGAGGGGCTCCGTTCCTCCCCAACCTTCCTCTTTGTGAGGGTCATTCCCTTAGCTTTAGCGAGGGAGAACTTAAAGCCCCACATATCTCCCCATTCTGACCCCCCACCCCCACCCCGAGCGTCTCATTGGCTCTCTCCACAGCTATTGGAAGCCTTCTATGTTGGGTCTATATAGCACAGTGATCCGCAAATTGGGTAATAACTATTCCTGCCCGTATACTCCCCAGGGGATCATTAATCATGAAGTTAAACGGGGTTGAGCTGCTAACACCCCCTGGGGGAGAGCCATTAGTACGTTTATAAATGTTTGACAAAGCTGCCCGCACCTTTACTTGTATGGTTCTCTTACCCACTGGAACCTTCTTCCTCTTATTCCAGTCCTGAGTAGTTTCTACAGCAAGCCTTCCCTCCGCTGCATGTCATGCTTTCTCGGTGTCCAAGAAGACAGCTGTCAGAAACGCTCCGTTCCTCCTGGGGTTTTGTATTTCTGCTTTTAATCTTACAGTCTGATCAGCTGTGCATCTTCCTTTCCTGAGTCTGCTCTGTACATAGTGTGTAATTTCGGTTTTTTTCCCAAGCACGCTACTAAGCTCTCATTTATCATTCTTTCTGTAATTTTGCAGAGTAGATGGATACACATCAGGTCTCGTGTGTATTTTGCCAGGTTTTCCTATCAGTATAACCACTGCTTGCTTCCATTCACCGGTAGTATTCCTCTTCCCGGATATTATTGTATAATTTCAAAGAAACTCTTATGCTGCCTTCCAGTAGGTGCTTAAGCATTGCATTACATATGGTATCTTATATAGGGCTGTGTTTTTCCTCTTGTCTATTAGCTTTTTTGAGTTCCAGTGTGGTGAAATTTTCATTCAGTGTGTCATCTTTATATCACAGTTTTCTCCAGCAAACATTCTCTTTGCTTTGCTTTGGATCACTCCTAACTTTTTGGAACTCTTTGGCAAAAATGTCCCCTTTTTCCTGAGTTAGAACATTCAGCTTTATCATTTACTCTAAGTCCAGGTCTAATCTGGTTTTGTTCTGTAACCCATTCATTTGTTTAAATGATTTATCTCTCTCTGAATCCTTGGAATCTTTGTTCATTTTCCCATAATAATTTCTCCAAATCTCTCTTTGCCTTTTTAATAGTTCTGTGTGTCCCTGCTTTACATCTTTTACAGTTCATTAAGTCCTTGTTATTCATTGTACTTTTGGCATGTTTGTATGCCGTATTTCTTTTTTACCTGCTGCTTGACAATCTTCATTCCACCAGGGAACTGAATTTCGGAGTTTGTGGCAATTCGGTATCTTACATATAGCTAGACTGGCTTCTGCTACCACTCCTTTTATTATATTGTCATGAAATTCCTCTCGATTATCACTTACACAATTGGTACTTAGGTACTCAGCGTTCCCAATTTGTTTTTCGAAGCCTCCAGGTAGGAATTCCTTCAGTGTTTTCAACATTACCTTGGCCTTGATATGTAATTAGCATAGGCAAGTGATCACTTCCCATTCCATCTTCTTCATAGTTTCCCAGCTGCATTACCTTGCCATATTGCTTGTTGCAATTCCCAGATCGAAACATGAAAAGTTCCATCCACCGAGTGAAACCTGCAGAATTGAGCAATACCAGGTTGTGCGTATCAGTGAAACGATTCCAGGCATTTTGCCATTATAGTCAGTTTTCCTGCTTCCCCATAATTCATTATGGCGAGTAAGGTCTCCACAAATAATATACGGGCCTTCTTCCAATTCTAGATAGTTTTGTTTTTTTATCTGGGTTGTATGAAGCTGTTGTAATTCTGCAGAGGAATCTCAACAGTATTGACTCAAAATGTAAGTTCTGCACATCGATACCAACATAACTTAGACCTTTCTCCTCTTGGAATTTCTCCGTCACATCCGATTACATCATATCCCAAAAGCCTAAACATGAGTTTTCTCAGTAACCATGTTTCTTGGCCACACATCTTATCAGGTTTGTGTTCCCAGGTTTCAAACCCAGCTTTCTTTCATTCCCGGCCACGTGTTATTAAACTGTGTGCGTTCCAACAAAAAAAACCCCGTGTTGTTTAAACTACATTATTACCTTCATTTAAAATTGCATGCATGCGGTCTACCGAGAGATTGCCGATATGCAAATACTTTCCGGTCGCTCTTGTTGTCATTTTTAATGTTTCAGTCACCTTCTTCCCTGTTCTGTAAACTGCAATTAGTCACTTTGGTCATAAAAGCTATCCACTTCTCTTTGCCTGCAAGCGGTGCAGCTTCATCAATTCGCCTTATATCATCTTCCCTGCCCTGAACTGCTTGGTTTTGTACCAGTAGCCCCTTCTCCTCCTCCTCCAAATTCCGATATGACTATTTTGTGTTACATCTGTGCTGGATGTTTTATGGATCGTTTTCATTTTCTGTCTCTCTCTAGCTTGTTCTGCGCCCACACACCCTTCGTGCGCCGCGCTGGGTTTACAACTGCCGCGCTGTAGTTGTTTTCTTCCCCCACCATTCTCAGATGAGTGTTCTCCACATTTACCACCCCTCGTTTTCCCCTGACAGGCAGCAAAGGGGCCCGGGTATATGGTTTAACCCAGCAGAGCTGAGTTCCTATCAGATAGCGTTGCAGCTTTTAATGTTACTCAGACAGCTGTGGATGGCTTATGGTCTCCCCCTCTCCTGCTAATCAGCACTCGATCCTCACTTATCCCCTTTTTAATTACATCCGCAGCCATGCCTAGTGGAACCCTGTACGTTACCCCTCTTGCTTCTGTCATAAACTTAGGTAGCTGGCAAATTACTTTTATTGCACATAAAATTCTAGTTTTAGGAAGTTTCTCGTCCTGTTCCTCATGTGTCCGTTCTCCTACTAAATTGCCACCTTGCCTGCTTTGAGCTCATCCCAGATCTCTGATATTGCACCTAATCCATTCTGCTGTTTTCAAGGGATTAACATCTCCCAGCATCAGCATAAGATGTCGATCCTTTTCCTTACTCATGTTTCCATCCCCGTCTGCTCCCTGTCCTTCAGAGACAGATCTTTCTGTTCTTCCCAATCTGAAGCTATTCGTCATCCCTTGCTGCTTCTCCCTCTCAGCCTGGATTTCCAGCTCCGTTCAGCCAGCCAGCCGCCAGCCCAAGCCCTGGCTCTCAGCCTCTCCCAGCCTACCCGGCCAGCCCTCTTCTGTTCTCAGCTTGCTGGCTTTATACCAGCTCAGCCTACCCCTCATCATCAGTTAGCTTTTCAGGCTGTCCCCCGGGTGCAGCCTAACAACCTGCTCTGCCCTGTCGGGTGGACACCCCATCACAAGGCTTCTATAATCAGCAAGCACAATTTGACCTTTAGGGCTAAACCCAGCCTGGGGATCTCTTGCTGTCTGTCTAGAAACACCTTGCCCCCCGCCCCGAGTCCATGCAGCATAGAGTTAACCCCAAACAAAAGGAACTAGGTCTTAGCCCCTTCCTGCCATATGCTCTGAGCTGCAAATGCAGCTGATGGGAGAAGTCTGCTTGCAAGACTCATCTTCACGGATGAGCAGAAAAGCCTCAGGTCTTGAGTTCTTTTGTTGATGATCTGGAAGTGGGGAGTTCCCAGTTGTACAACCCCCCCGTCGTCTGTCCGGTGCCCATGGGGCGTGTACATCCTGAACACTTTCCAAAGGGGCATGACAATTTCTGTGAAAGAGCAGCTCTTCACACTCCATCATGTCCCTCTCCTGCATGGCGATTCGCGCCCCCACCGAGGCACACGATGCAGCCACTCAGGTATTATGCCACAGGGTGGACCAGGCATATGACGAGTGAGATTAAGGCAGGCAGCAGCTCACCAGCGTTCAATGGTGCAGACGTTTTCTGGTCATTCCAATACCTGTTTCATCAATATGAACCCACATGTGAGCCAGAGAGAGTCCAGCTGTGTGGCTGATGAGACACAGGGACTTTGCTGGCAGCCCTTTACTCCCAGGTAAGTGCATGGTAAAGTTCCCGCGACCCCGCCATGTTCCGGCAAAGGTTAGAGCTCTGTGCCGCCGACCTGCAAGCCCTTGGGTGCCGAGAGAGGTGAGGGCCGCACATCCCGAACACAAGGCTGCAGCAAAGACAATCCCCCAGCTGGAGGGCTGGCAGGGCCCTTCCCCTCTGGCTGGACCCAGGCTCCTTCAAGGCTGAGACTTGGGCTGGCTGATGATCGCTGAGAGCGCTCCCCAGAGACAGGCGCATTGAAAGGGCCATTCCTTCCATGCTTGGGCAACTAGCTGCCTTCCCGACGGCATATGGAGCAGGGTGCCCCTTCCCTGTGAGTGGCGCTGGCCTTGCCCTCGAGACCGCTCTTGGGCTCACGGGGACTTGCAGGGCTCCCTGGGGCAGCCTGTATCGGGGTGCTGGCAACACAGATCCCCAGCAGCCCTGCCTCCTTCCTGCCGTGCCCCCCTGCCTCAGAGGGCTCCGATCCAATTTCAGCTTCACGCTCTCCATTTCCTCCCCACCCCCTTCGCCTAGATGCTCACGCCGCCCTCGCCATGGCTTGGGCTATGAGTCAGTTTCATTCATGGAGATCCAGCCCCCCCCGTTTCTCTCTTCCTGGTTTACTCTGCCACTCTCTGTTTTTTTAATCATTTGCCTTTTGCTGAACTAATTACTTTTTGCTTTTCTCCCTCCATCCTACCTCCTCCCTGCTCTCTTCTGGGTCCGTCCCCCCTCCGTCTCCCCCCTTCCCCTTCACGTTCTTGTCACCATTTTCTGATCCATCTTTCCCTCTCTTCCAACGACGACTGTTTTCCTTCCTTTCTGTCTCTCTTCTCCTTCCTCTGTCTCTCTTCCATAGGAGCCTCAAACCACCGTTATCCATAACCCCGTGGACGGCATTAAGGTACTGGTGCCTGTCTTTCCTTTGCCCTTGGCCCCGTTGCGAGCTTGGATAGGTTCTGACACAGCTGTGCGCTCTCCCCTCTGGGGACCGAGCCTGGGCTAAGGCTTTTCCTCCTTAGCGTGCTCCGGTCTCTCTCTGGAGCGTAAGAGAACAGGAGTTGGGTGCCTCTCGGGGAGCTGTCCAGGGGCGTAGATTGGCCCTGAACCGAAGCCGTCCCATCAGACGCTTCCGCTGGGCATCGGCCTCCTTGCAGAGGAGCAGGGTCTGTGGGTGAGCAGGCTGGAGGGTAGACCCTGGATGTACACTGGGGAGCTTGGGGGAAACCTTGCCCCAGTGCAGTCGGTGGGAGTTTTGCTGTTCGCTCCCACCAGGTCTGTGGAATTGCTGCTAACAGCGAGAGATGACCCCCCATCCCGCCCCGGACCACCCCTCCTCATCCGCACTGTTACCAATCAGGCACAAACGCCCCTGAAGTCGGTGGGGAGATGCCAGCTGGGGGCTCTGCCTCCCATTCTGCTCCAGCCTTAGTGGCTCAGGGTTCAGAGCCCCATGGGGGCATTGGGGTCCGTGCTTGGAGCACGCGCTGGCTGCCTCTCGGAGGGAGAGGTGCATGGTGTATTGCTGGGCCTGCCCCTCTGTGTGCTCCTCACCCTGCAGCAACAGGCCTAGAGCCATGTTTATAGTCGCAGAACCGGGGTCTGGGGGAGTCTGGCTATCCAGGGGGCGGGGGTGGGTTCGTTGGCCCAACCGGCAGCCAGCTGGAAGTGGGGCACTTGCTCAGGGTTGGGAGAGGGGTGGGGAGCCTCTGCTCTGACCCCAGAGGAGCCAGTCCGAGAGCAGAGATCCTGAGCCGGCTCCGAGCACAGCCACGGAGAGGAAAGTGAGAAGACAGCCCAAGAGATGGGACTGGCTGAGGACTGACAAATTCCCTCCATGCCACGTTCATCCATTGCTCTCACACAGCCCCAACCTCTGCCCAAGCCTGCATCTCGTCCTCACCCATCCTCCGCTGCAGGGATTTATCTTTTCTTGACATCCCCGACTTCCGACTCATTCCCTCGGCGCATCTGGCCATACCCACTCCCTGGGGCGGGGGGGCACAGGCAGATTCACACTTTGCAATTCCCTGCCCTCTGTCCCCTCCTGCCCGCTTGGCCCAGCTGTCTGACACTGCAGCCTTCTGCCTCGCTGGGCAGTGCATTCACGGCGAAGGGTGTGCAGGATCAGGCCCTTTGGAGCTAATCCATTGCCCCAGCGCTGTATCTGCCTCAGTGTCCCCTTGACTGGACTTTCCACCTTCCTGTGCAGCTTTTGTAAATAGCCTGATCGGTCCCTTACCCTGGTCTGTGGGGCCAGTGCCCCACGGCTTGACTGATCCCAAGCCGAGAGTGCTGTTCAGGGAACACCCCGTGGGCCACAGGCTGCTTCCCCCGGCATCAACCTGCCCCCAGCGCAGCCCCATTGAGGGGGAGCGACGCCTAATTTGTGTCAACGGCCGGGAGAGCAGGATGCTGCCATAGCTGACGGCATGTCTCCAGCGCGGGCCGTGTATCAAGGGACCTGGGGTCAGCCCTGGCAGGTGTGCGCCCAGCAGGGACCGGTACGTCCCCAGGTAGGGCATTGTAATTCCTCTGCTCCCTTTGCCCCCCCCCCCCCGAGGAATACAAAAGGAGCAGGGCCTGGACCCTGCCCCAGCGTCTGGGCTAGACACACCAGTCACTCAGCATCCGTAAGGAGTTGCTTTTTAAGGAGCTTGTCTCTTAAAGGTGCCCTGCAACGGCCGGGTCTGTGCCCTTGGTTTGGTTCTCTGGGACGGATAAAAAAGGGCTGCAAAGCCGGGGAGATTCTTACACTCCCCCTTAGTTCACTGAGCTTCACTCTGCTCTGATTCGTGCTGTCACAATCCGGCTGGGTCGCCGGTCGCCGCAGAGACTCCAGGGTAAAAGGGCTTTCTACATCACACGGAAACCACCGGGAGCACAGAGCTAGTTTTGTTCCCCTTCGTGCATTGCAGAAATTCGGTGGAGAAACAGGCAGCCTCTTAGCTGCTTTCCTCACCGCGTAAGTGAACGAACAAGGGAAGGTGGAGCGAGCAGGACCTGGCCTATTGTCTCCAGAGACCTTTTTGTCTCATTGTCCAGGTGGCACCAGGCAGCCTTGCCATGCAGGTTGTTCTGCCCTGGACAGCAAACTTGGCAGCTGGTGTCGGTCAGAGGGAAGGTGGCGTCTCTGTTCCAATTGAGGGGGCAGGGGGAGGTTTAAGGGCCTTTTCCCTGGCCGAGCTGTGGCTTGATGATTTTAAAATTTTACTGTGGGGGGAGGCGGGGGGAGAAGGGCTTTTTTCCCACCGTGCAAGTCTGGCAGATCGGCCCAATAATTAGCTACGTCTCAGTTACTCTAAGGGAAGGCAACTGGTGGCAGGGCATAGACTGGACTTGGGTCTGTTTCTCCATTGCCCCACGCCACATTGCGGCCCGAGGGCTGGCGATTGCCTACCAAGCAATGGAAGACGTGGTGGGAATAGCGAGGCCACAGAGGGATAGTGTGCCATACGGAGCAGCATTGTTACAAAGGCTCCTGGGGGAGACCGGGCGATCTAATGGGTCTCGTCTAGTTCCTGAAGGCCCGGGCACGGTGCTGGCTGCGTGGTTTTGCACGTTCTTCTCGCTGAAGGGGCTGGCTAGCTCAGAGCGTTGGTAATGGTGCTGGGGCCTTGGTCGCTGGCTTGAATTCAGGCTCCTTCGCTGCTTGGCGGTGGACGTTGGTGACCAGATGGCCCCGTCCTTTAGACACGAAGCCGAGGCCTTGGCCTTGCCTGGGCACTTCCTGCCCATCTTCGTTGGTGTGGCTCCCAGCCCAGGCTGGCTTGATACCTGTCTGCACAGGCTGGGAAGCGCTCGTGTCCGACAGCTTTTCAGAGCAGGTCTCCTCAGTGGGCCCGGGACGAGAGGGGGCTCCCAGCAAAACCCCTCACTCGAGCTGTTCCTTCCCCTTAACCCAAGAGACTGGCCGTGCATTAAACTAGCCGGAAGGTGCCGTAACAGGGGCGGTTCCTCTCCTTCCCCTTCCGTGCTGACTGAGGCTGGCCTCCAGGCTCTCACCTAAGGTCACGTCTTCCCAGGGCCGCCCCCCGCCGGAGCTGGGATTGTTCCTGGGGTCGGGACACGACGGGATTTTCCAACACAGGCGACAGCTGCCTGGAGTGAGAGTGGGAAACGTTTGCTGTCCAGTCAAGTCCGGACGCAGCCACCTGATGTAAATGTGTCTGGAAAAGGGCAGATTCCATTTTCCCTTCGTTCTGGAGGGCTGTGCAATCCGCCCTCCTTCCCCAGAGCCTCTTGCCGGGGGGGAAGACCCGGGCCCCACGCTGCTCCTGCCTCCCTGCTGATGGCGCAGGGTTGTGCTGCATGGAACCCTGATCCAGAGCACCAGTGGACGGAGCTCGGGGGGGCGCCCAAGGAAGGGTTCTGGGGAGGGCTGTCGGCCCAGAGTCAAAGGGCAGCTTTTCTCCCTGCAGTCCTGCCTGGCGCTGCCAGGGGTCCCTGGCACTGTTCCCCGTCCTTCCCTGCCGCACCAGCGCTGGAGGGGCAGGGCTGCAGGCAGGTGGCACGAGTGGGAGCCTCAAGAGAGACCTGGCTACCGTGAGCCATGCCTGAGTCCCCCCCGGGCTAGCTAGCAGCAGTGCCCCTCATTCAGGAGCGTCAGGGCAAGCAGAACTCCCCGCCCCGATACCACGGTGAGGGGCTTGGGGCCAGATCTTCAGCTGACTAGATTGTGCCTGGCTGCCATCGTGGGCACAGCTGTTCCGGGCCACTCCCGTTCATTCCAGGGAGGAATTAAGGCCCCACTGGGGGAAGATATATCTTCCTAAAGGCCCCAGCAGGGAAGGTCACAGACGTGGCTCTGAGGGCCCCAGCGTGGGTTTGGGGGCCTGGATCTGAGGGGCCTGGGGGGGGTGACGAAGCAGGACTGTTCTTAATGTTGCCTCTGAATATTGTGGGGGTGCCTCAGTTTCCCCTATGCAATTCTTAAGTATCTAGGTGGTGGGATAAGGGTGTATGATCCTTGCAGAGCCCTAGAGGGCAGGTGTGTGCAGGGGTCTGGACACAGAGAATGGCCGACACCCTGTTTCCTGGCCACTGATGGCCTGGCCCTTCCCCCCTGGAAGGTGAGAGCTGAAGGGTTGGAGAACAAAGGAATCCGGTGCCCTCCTGGCCCGGGAAAGGGACAAAGCCCAGAGGAGGAGGGGCTGGAGAGAGTTTCAGTTTGGGGCTGGCTGGGGACATGGAGTGAAGTGCAGACAGGGTTGTCTGACTCACTGCCCCCCGCCCCCCAATGGACCCGGCTGAGGGGTCCTGTTCTCTGTGCCTACAAGCTCTGTTTTAGACCATGTTCCTATCGTCTAATAAACCTTCTGTTTTACTGGCTGGCTGAGAGTCACGTCTGACTGCGGAGTTGTGGGGCAGGACCCTCTGGCTTCCCCAGGACCCCGCCTGGGCGGACTCGTTGTGGGAAGCACACGGAGGGGCAGGGGATGCTGAATGCTCTGAGGTCAGACCCAGGAAGGTGGAAGCCGTGTGATCTTTTTGCCCTGAAGACAGGCTGCTCACAGAAAGGAGATTCCCCCAGAGTCCTCACTGGCTTCGCAGGGAGCAGTTCCAGAGCATCGCCCAGGGACTCCGTGACAACTGGTGGCAGTGGTGGGATGTACTGCACCCCATGGATGGCGCTTCCTGCAGTAAGTGACTGGGGAGCTGTCACGGAGTCCCTGGGCGATGCTCTGGAACTGCTCCCCATGAAGCCAGTCAGGACTCTGGGGCAGTCGCCTTTCTGTGAGCAGCCTGTCTGCAGGACACACAGCTCACACAGCTTCCACCTTCCTGGGTCTGACCTCGGAGCATTCAGCATCCTCTGCCTCTCCGTGCGCTTTCCCCCAGCGAGTCCGCTCAGGCGGTGCTCCTGGGGAAGCCAGAGGGTCCTGCACCCCAACTTCGCAGTCA